AAATTCTTAATATTATAAGCAATTGATACCCAAAAGAAGCTCCCAGCAGGATGGTTTAATCCAGTACCTCTTTTTGTTTTCTGAAGCATAGGGAAGAGGATTGTTCAATCTCTTCTCATCAGGACATACAAAAACAGCAGCTCCTTTAGCAAACTCTTGATATTATTCACCTCTCTATAGAAGTTAAAACTTAGTTGCCAGAGTGCTAATGGCCAGTTCTTTCTGGGATATGTCATTGGGTTTGGCTGACAAATGACACTTGCAGCTATAAGTAAAAAGTAACAGCACTTAACAACTGTACAAGTTTCCCTTTTACTCAGTATTTTTAACTCATCTTTTTTTAACAATATAAGCAGTATGACCACAGTTCTTTTCCTAGCCCTCACCATTAAGGAGTGGAGACTTTATTCCTTTATTCCTTTTACCCAGACCTTAATGTTCTTTTACTTTACACTTAGCCCTATATAACCCTCTACTTTCCAGCCCTTATATTTCCATAGATGCAGCTAAAGTCACCTGATAATCGCTCCCTTTTACTGAGTTACTTCTTTGGCTTTTCAGTTCATAGAAGCGAGAAGATTATTACTTGTGGCCAGCTGTCTAAGTCTTTGGAAGATTTGAAGACTCTGTCATTCCCTTCTCAACTGTAGTAGCTTCCGTATCTCTTTCTTCATTCCATTTCCTCCACATTCAACTTGCTGCTGTAGCCTACTATCACACACTTCTTTCTCTCTTCCACTAACACCAACACACTGTGCTTTCAGTATTCCTCTTTTATTTCCCTGCAGTGCAGATGTGGACTTTTTGCTCTCTTACAATCCCAGAGGCACAATCCATAAGGAAGGAAAATTCAGGTTAACAGCCTTTGGGTATTTTCTTCTATAACATGTTATTGCTGACAAAGAAATTTTTGAAGGAGATGAAGAGACAGAAAATTCCAGGGATTACTTCAGAACCGAAACAATATTATTCTATCATCATTCTAGCCATTGTCTATCCGCTGCTGGATGAAGGCCTCTTCCGTGTGTTTCTAACCAATGTCCTGGGCTTTCTTTTGGCAATTGGGCCCTCAATACTTGCTGATGTTGTTGATCCATCTTGCTTTAGGTCTCTTTCATAGATGCTTTTTATCAAGCGGGATCCATTCTATGACTGCCTTGGTCCACCTGCCATTAGTTCTTGCTATGTGACCAACCCATTTCCATTTCAGTTCTTTTACTCTCTTGATGATTTCTAATCCATGTGCAAGTCTTTCTATCTTGTCTTGCGGCGTCAAGCATGTATCTTTCCATGGCTCTGTGACGCATAGCTTTTATATCCATTGTGAGGTTAGTGTCCATGTTTCACTGGCATAGTGTATGTTAGAACAGGTAGCACACACTGATTGAAAACTTTTCAGGCATTGAGTGAGGTTGTTCTTGAAAATTATATTTAGCTTGCCGAGAGCCTCCCAACCACATTTAACATGCAGTTTAATTTCTTTTTTTGTATCACCTTCCATTGAGATCCATTAACCAAGGTATATGTAGTGGTCTATTACGTCTAGTTGTAGTCTAAAAAAAAATTTTTCTTTGGTGAATTTATTAAAAGTAACCTGGCTCTTTTTCAACTTTATTTTTAAGTCAAATGGTTCTCCTGCTTGGTGCAGCTTGTATGTGCCTTTGTAACTCTTCTGGCTCTTGTGAAAACAGAACATCATCTGCAAATCTTAAGTGATTTAAATAGGTGCCATTGCTTTTTATTCCATCTTTTGCCCAGCGTAGTCTGCGAAATACTTCTTCAAGACAAGTTGAAAAAAGGATAGGTGATATTGTATCACCTTGTTGTACACCAAGTTCTATGTTGATTTCCACTGTAAAATCATTAAGGCAAATTGTTGCCATTTTTTCATATATTGATTATAGTAATTTTATGTAAGCCTTGGTTGAGCAATGCATTGATTATTGCTTGCTGGAATACTGAGTCAAATGCCTTTTCATAGTCAATGAAAGCCATGCACAAAGGCATGGTGTATTCATTGTGCCTTTTGATGACTTGCTGAACAACCTGGATGTGATCCATTGTCCTGTAACCACTTCTGAACCATGTCTGCTCCTTTGGCTCTGCATCATGTAATGTTCTCAATATTCTTTTTGCTATTATCTTGGTGAAAACCTTGTAAATGACTGAAAGAAGGCTTATTGGGCGAGAGTTCTTTAAATCAGAGGTCTCCAACCTTTTTGGTTTGGCGGCTCGGAAAGGGAGACAGGCACTGCTACGTCCACGCGCACAAATGGGCCACGCACCTGCACATGCAAAAATGAGCCCCAAGCATGTGTGCACAAATGGGCCATGCATGAGCACATGCGAATGGCCGCACGTGAGTGCTGTAAACGGGGCGGCGCTAATGCTGGCGGGATGCTATGGGTGGCACTAGGACTGGTGGGATGCTCTGGGGTGGGGCGGCGCTAGCACCGGCAGGATGCTTGGGGCGGCGCTAGTGCCGGTGGGATGCTTGGGGCAGGGTGGTGCTAATGCCAGCAGGATGCTCGGGGTGGCTCTAGTGCCGGTGGGATGCTCGGGGGCGGGGTGGTGCTAGTGCCAGTGGGATGCTCGGGGAGGCACTAGTGCCGGCGGATGCTTGGGATGGCACTAGCATGAGTGGGAGGTTGAGTGCATGCGCGTGTGCAAGTGTACTGGCCATCCTTCATGCGGCCCGGTGGCCAAGCAGCCGTGGCCCAGTAGTGGGCCATGGCCCACAGGTTGGGAACCCCTGGTTTAAATCATCTTGGGCCCCTTTCTTGTGTATAAGAATCACTTCAGCATTTTTCCATGCATCTGGTATTTTTTCTTCACAGAGGCATCTCGAGTACAGTTTTGCCAGTATCTTGCATAAACTGTGACTATCAGCTTTCAGCATTTCAGCTGTAACACAGTCATTTCCTGATGCTTTGCCATTTTTCATTGCTTTTATGGCACTTGATAATTCTATATATATTATTCTATATACTTCGTAATTTAATTAAATTTAATTACATAATAGAAAGGATTAACAATGTAGGAAGTTATGCTTCCTAAAATTTGTATTATTTCTTCCTTTAGCATTTATTATCTACTTAATGTCTAATAGTCAAACTCTGCATTCAATTATAACACAGTAAAAAATTGACACAACATATCAGAATATAAAAAAGTGTCTAATAAAATACAGGTAGTCCTCAACTTATGACCACAATTGAGCCCAAAATTTCTATTGCTAAGTGAAACAATTGTTAAGTGAGTTTTGCCCCATTTTACAATCTTTCTTGCTACAGTTAAGGATATTACTGCAGTTATTAAGTTAATAACACAGTTGTTAAGTGAATCTGGCTTCCCCATTGACTTTGCTTGTCAAAAGTCACAAAAGGCGATCACGTGATCCCAGGATACTGCAATTGTCATAAATATGAGTCAGTTGGCAATAATCTGAATTTTGATCATGTGTCTATGGAGATGCCGTAGGGATTGTAAGTGTGAAAAATGGTCATAAGTTAATTTTTTTCAATGCTGTTGTAATTTTGAATGGTCACTAAATGAACTGTTGTAAGTCGAGGACTACCTATATTAAAATGTTTTTTTTTAGATTCTCGCTAATACTTTTTTCAGCTTTATCCAAACTTGTCCAACTTTATCCATGCTTCTTTGTGCTTTGTTTGCTTTAAAAAATAAATGCATAGAAACTGACTGAAGGCAAATTAGACTGTGCTAAATCTAATGCAGCTTTCATGATGCTAAGCCATGAACTTCACCATACTTACTAACAAAACTGAATTAGATTGTTCCAGAAGTTGCCATTTTCTTATTTGCAGTCATATTGGTTGTGTGTGCAACCAGCATTTACACTCATTCCCTTTGCATTGTGTTTTGAAACATGTACACAGTAATCACAAAAAAAATGATTATGTTAGGAACCATGAATTCCTTTACTGTTCTGTATCCAACATTTCTGTTATTAATTATAGTACTTTTTGTAGTATTTTCCTTTTTTTAAAAAAATGGAACCTGCTATTTAAAAAAATGGAACCTGCTATTTAATTAATGAGTTTCTAATTAATAGACTCTGATGCAGCCCCTGCTGTCATGCTTCTCAACAGAACTTGTGCAAGCCAACTTCCCTTGCTAATTCTGCTCAGTACAATGGGTATTGATAATAGTGCCATTGACATATCATACAAAAAATGTATGATCACATAAAGATTTAAATAAGAAATTCCACTGTTTTAACTCTGTCACCAAATGTATTTAAAAGCTTCTATTTGTTATCATCATCTACATCTAATATTGATACCGGAAGACAGTAGATATATTTTCCCTGCTAATCCAAGCACTGTTTCTCATTTATTTCATAGAGAAATTATTCAGGGACATGGTTTAGATCCAACACTCTCATTCTTTCTAGCTGTGCTTAAAATTGAGGTCATGGTTTCCACACATTGATGTGTTGCTTTACCTGCACTTTCTGCTTAAATGTCTTCCTTTCTATGAATTTTTAGTCTGATCACCCGGCATATGCCTTTATTTATTTCCAAAAGCATTCCAATGATTAAACATAGCTTTTTATAATTTGAAGTTTACTTTTAGGGATACAGCATATTTAATCAGCTGTCCGATATCCTTTAGGCAGGGAACAATCCCACCCTGCTTTCAATACATGATTTCTCCTAATATAAAGAAGCTGGATAAGTCCACACTGATTGCATTAACAATTTATTTACTGTAAGTATGCCAGTGATTGCAACATTTTTTTCTCCAGGTGATTAGCAAAGCTAAAATAAATACTGGAAATTAGTGCAGTTAATATTGGACTCAGTTTTATTATGCTGAATAACTTTTTTCTTACAAATCTCTGGCATTTACGTTTAAATATTGCCTTCTTATTATTATTAATGTTGTTAAAGAAGTTATTTGAAGGCCTTGACAATTTCAGTCAGAGGTTCTATCATAAACATTTCTCAGCATACCTGTATTTTAACTCTCTGCAGAGAATGATGAGGTCCTCAGTTTTCCATATGTTTATCCTGAGCATGGTAGCAGTGGATGTCATTGTTGCTGCTAGCAATTATTATAAGGGAGAAACTTTCAAGAGCCAATATGACGAGTTCTACCTTGCAGAGGTGAGTCTTCCTTTCTTACTGATTTCTTTATATTTCTTATCAAAAGTTTATCACTGTTATTTTTTATTACAGTTAATGACCAGTCCATAAGATCACATTATAGATTAAGACTAATACTGGCTGTATAATTAATAAGGTAAACATGCCAGTCAAAATGTGCAGACATAAATTGAAAAAGAGCATCCTAGGTAGAGAGAAGGCAGGAGAAAGCAATTTCATTTCTAGACCTTTTTGTAAATTGATGCTTTGTAACTGCCCAAAATGGAACCATTTTGTGAGATAACTTTTTTACAATGTGTAAAAAAAATTCAGATTTGTCTATTGGCCTGAAAAAGTTTGGGTTCCAGTGTCCTAGATTCTTTGACTGTTAGAGTTATCCATCAAACATAAATGTTTTGTACAGGATGACAGAATAGATGCTGAGCTAGTACATTGATTAGTACAATGTCAAAGCCTTACTACCTTTCATGACTACTGAGAAATAGCAAAAAGCTCTTGTACTACATTCAGAGTTTATTTATTGAACAAAATCTCTATAGCTGTCTAACTCAAAGGGAATGGTTTTAGGTGGCTTACAAGGATTAAAAATATAGAAACCCACAACATATAACACTCAGCACCTGGATAAACAATAACCCCACTCATGGGGGGGGGGGAACCACATTAACAACAGCAGAGTCCATCTGCCCACCTGATCCAAAGACAGGTAGGTCTTGAGAAAAGCTCACAGTTGGAGCCATCCAAATCTCTGGGAGATTATTCTTGTATAAGGCAGGTGCTGCCACTGAGAAGGAACAACTGTGGAGTCCTAAAATATGGCATTGTACTAGGTCTAGTGGAGCAAGCCAAAACAATGGGACAAGTGGTCCCACGGGTAGCCTGGCCTTATGCCAGGAAGGATTTTATCAGTGATCATCAGCACTTTGAAATAGACCAACAAGCCTGATGGAAACTAGCACAGATCACAAAGTAGTTGTGTTATATAGTCATCATGTGAAATGCTGCTGCATTTTCTGAGTGTTCTTGAAGAGAAACCCCATGTAGAATACATTATAGTAATCCAAATGGGAAATGACTAAAGCCTGAATCACCATAATGTTTGAGGAAAAATCGTTTTTAAACCAAAAAAATCAAGTATTTTTAACCAAATGGTTTGCAAAACATTTGATACTTTAAAAAAAAATTCCTCTAAGAATATACAGTAAAATGCTAATAAACTGATATACATAATCTAATAATAAATTGTATGTTTAATTCAATAATTGTTAAAACTTCTCATAATGGAATAGTGAATGAATGAAGTGAGTAACCCCAACACAAGCAAGAAGGCTACACCAAAATTATACACCATAGGGAGCAAACAGTTTCTAAAAAATGACCCCAAATAGGAACCTAAGGAAGAAAACCAATACACCCAAATTGAACACAATAGGGTATAATCAACTTCTGTAAAAATGACCCTATATATCAACCTAAAGAAGAACAATGGAAACTTTTAGAAGAAAGCAACAACCAAGAGCAAAGCCCCTAGCCCACCCCAATGAAACCTCTCTGAAATTGAACAATCACTTTCATAGCCTCCCATGGAAGAAATAGTGAAGAGCAACAAAAATGATCATGGGGCTGGAGGCTAAAATGAACAAAGAACGATTACAGGAAATGGACATGTCTAATCTAATGAAAAGAGGACAAGGGGTGACATGAGAGCCCTGTTCCAATATTTGAGAGGCTCCTACAAAGAAGAGGGGGTCAACCTATTCTCCAAAGCACCAGTAGACAAGAAAAAAACCAACCAAGGAGAGAAGCAACCTTCACTAAGGATAACGTTGAGAGCAATTAACCAGTGGAATAATTTGTCTTCAGAGGTGGTGGGAGCTCCATCACTGAAAGCTTTCAAAAAGAGACTGAACAACCATTTGTCTGAAATGATACAGAGTCTCCTGCTCAAGCAAAGGGTTGGACTAGAAGACCTCTGAGCTCTCTTCCAACTCTATTATTCTATGTTCTATGAAACAAACCAACATTATTACAGATGCCTTGACCAAGATAAGGCTGATTTACTATGATTTAAATGATGGTGGACAAGATGGGGCCAGGATGGTTGTTTCAAGTTACACCTTTTGACTTTATACGCAACCATAAAGCTTTTTAATTGATATTGATTTGATTATTTGCCATCAAGTTATTTTTTACTCCTAATAACCACATAAATAGATGTTTCCCATGATGATCTATCCCTAACCTTTCAAATTTCTCAACAATGTATTCATCACCAGTGTAACTGAGTCTATCCACCTTGCTGCTGGTTATCCTTTTCTTCTTTCCTTTCCAACATTAGAGGTTTCTCCTGGTTTTTGCATAATGTATCTAAAATAGGATAATTTGAGCTTGGTCATTTGTGTCTTAATAGGGGAACTTTGGATTGATTTGTTGGATAATCTATCAATTTGTTTTCTTAGCTGTCCATGGTATTCTTAGGAATTTTCTCCAATATTAAAGTCCAATATTAATATCAAGTGCCACATATATGGATACACCACAGTGTATGTGTTTCAGAGTGTAGGGGGGTTAAAATTGGCTTGTATTGTTTAGATATTAATATTTAATTCAAGAAAATGTTTTGCACTAGCTATATATGTATTTGTTCTATATTCTTTGTTTATCTTGCTTTTGACAAAAATCTCTCAAGCAACTTTCAAAAAGGGAGGACAAAGACATCACTTTGCCAATAGGCAGAAGGAATTTCCCTTACAATATGTCTTGTTTTAAGAAAGATATTGGTAACTGGGGAGCATATATTTTTCTTCTGCTCTGCAGTTCTGCTCTGCAACTGACAGCTAGACCTGAATGTTTTCAGGAATAAGGAAAACACACTCTTGTAACTACTCAACCTTTACCCCTTGCTGCAATGCAAAATACAGTCTTCGGGACTGCAGATATTTCTTTTTCCTCATCTCAGAGATTTGATCTGAAGCCGAGGTCTTTTTCTTGGGAGAGTCAGTATGCCTATAAGCACATTTCTCATGCTACAAGATTAGAGACATAACAGTAATTCCAAGAAATTCTGCTTAGGCTCCTTTTGTCCTTTTCTGTTCCCACAGGTGGCCTTTACACTCCTTTTTGATCTGGAAGCTCTCCTAAAGATCTGGTGCCTGGGATTTACTGGATACATCAGTTCATCTCTTCATAAATTTGAACTGCTGCTGGTTATTGGAACTACTCTTCACATTTATCCAGTCCTCTATCATTCACAGTTTACATACTTTCAGGTAGAGTGCTAATTTCCACTTCAATCTACCAGAGGAAAATATTATTTGAAATCACTCGAAAAAGGGTCTAAATATTATTGATGTTTATTAATTTATTTTATGGTTTTATTATTTTCATTTTCAGCATGATGCTCACCTGTCAAATAGGTATTTCTTACTGAATTATCATATTTGTTGTAGCAATACACTTTTTTTATAATTGAATCCAAAGCACCTTAACATTTACATGCCACCTTTCAATTTCACTTGAAAGATTTTCAACTTCAACCATAGCTTTTGAGATAGCTAAGCTCTCAATGCAAAAATACATTTTAACCTAAAATGCAAAAATACAGTCTAATCTAAAAGCCAATAATTAAAATCATTAAATAAAATTTCTTTTTCTTTTTCTTTTGAGCTTCTGAAACATCCCATTCTTCCACACTGCCTGTATGGCTTGGTCCATCCAGGTTTTGTACTCTTCTTCCCCAGCTGATACAGACTGTGTCCCAGAAAAGATTCTCAGCAACATTTTTATTATAGAAAATTGGAAAGAGATAATTTTGAAGATGAACAGAAGAGCCAAACTAATTTAATGGATAGGTTATCTAGTAGCCTACCTATGGATATTCAATAGCCTATGGATGCCAGAAGAACAGGGGGAATGAAAATATAAATACATCAGAAATAATTACAGAATCCTCAACTTACAAATATTTGTTTAGTGACCATTCAAATTTAAGATGGTTTTGAAAAATTGACTTGTGGACAGACCTCACACTTACAAACATTGCAGGGGCTCCATGGTCACATGATTGCGATCTGGGTGCTTGACAACTGGCATTTATTTACAATGGATCATGTGTCCTGGGGTCATGTGGTTGCCATTTGTAACTTTCCCAGATGATTTCTGACAAGGCAAATGAGTGGTTGAAGCCACTTAATGACCACAGTGATTTGCTTAATGACCGATGGCAAAAAAGATCGTAAAATCGGGCATGGTAATCATTGCATCATTTAGCAACAGAGTTTCTGGTTCTGATTGTGGTCCTAAGTTGAGAACTACCTATATTGCAGCCAAAATCACAAAATAAAGTAGTTAAAATAACTGTTTCCCTTCATAATGATCACTATCCATGTTTTGAATAATTTTGGGATTATCCTTCCTTATAAAGTGGTGTTTGTGCATGTGTGTGTATACATGCTGTACATTCATACATACATTTACACAATAGAAAAGCAAAAATCTTTTTTAATATAATGTATAAATTGAAGGAGCTAATCATCTCACATTACTGATGGAAATATAAGTATGTAGCTTTTTTTCAGATATACAAACATACTCATATACTCATATATAATCTTAATGGTGAAATAAGAAATATTTATCATATGTTGGAGAGGGATAAATTGATTAAGTTTTCTGCCTCTAATCCTCAAAAAAATTCAAGCCATACTCAAATAAAAATACGGACTTGTGAAGGATACTGTTTGATGTCTGTCCTGTTTCTCTCTTGATGAAAACAAATGGGCTTGTAAGCTAGTTTCTGGAAAGATTAATTGGATACTTAAATGTCAATTAAGGTAATATAGGTATTGGTGGAAGCACCCACAACAAAATACTTAGCAGAACACTAGTCAAGCATGAAACAACTTGTTTTTAACATTTAAAGAAAAACTGGATAGTTTCATCTATTCTGATTAAAGTATATACACAAATATTGATTGACTGATTGATTAAAAATCAATTAGCTTAGGAGGCATGACACTTAGTGTGACATGGAGATGTTATTTGCAGGTTGCAGATTATCCCATATGTACCCCACTTTCTCAGAATGGGGAGAAACAGAGTTTCAGCCCTTGGGTGAAGATTGGGATTTAGAAATGTTTAAGAGGGATTTTTTTCATTATTATTGTAACCCTTTCCTGAATCTCCCATATATAATATATTTTTATTTGTTTCTTTTTTAAAAAAATGTAAATGTTTGGGCCTCACCTGCTCTACTTACTCTAATATCATCAGATGTATTGTAGACATACCCTCTACTCCTTTAAAGCCAATGTTAATGTAAGAGACCCAGTCACAAAAGACATACATACATACATACATACATACATACATACATACATACATACATACATACATACATACATACAGGAATTAGAAGAGATTTCAGTATGACTGCCATTCAGGGGTAGATGAGCTGATGTCCTCTGAATGTTACACTTTTTTTGGCTATGCTGACTAAGGCTAAAGGGAAGTTAAGATGAAAACTTTAAGTTGTCCCACCCTGCAAACTCTTTAGTTTTCAAGTAAGAATCAAGATAGAATTGCAGAACGTCTCGCAATTCTGTAACAATAATCCTTGAAATATTTCAGTTTAACATAGAATTCTGACCTAGATTTTTGTAGAAATTGCTGTCTGTTTCTGGAAATTACTATTGGTTATTTAATTTGGTGTTCCTTCTTTTCTTTCATGTTTCTATTGATTATAAGGCAGTGGTGGCGAACCTATGGCACGGGTGCCAGAGGCGGCACTCAGAGCCCTCTTTGTGGGCACGCGCACCGTCGCCCCAGTCCTAGGCCTTCAGATGGGTTTTATAAAACCTTTTCGCTTTAGGCCTCCGCCGCCGTGTGCAAAAAAAAAAAGGTTTAATCAGTCAATTTCAACTTCTCGCGGGGAAAAAAAAGGTCTTGCAAAGTTGGAATTGATTGATTGAACTTTTTAGTCCCACCCAGTCTGCCGTTACCACCGCAGCCACGCCCACCCAATTGGCCACGCCCAGCCAATGGGCCATGCCCAGCCAATGGACCACACCCACCTGGCACTCGACGATGCATAAGTGGGTTTTGGGTTGCAGTTTGGGCACTCGGTCTCTAAAAGGTTCGCCATCACTGTTATAAGGTATCATATTTAGACACAAATAAATAAGAGAGAAATAAATGAACTATAATTCACCTTCGATTTCAATTCTATGAATATAGAAACACTGAAAGTTTGGCCATCAACTTGAAATTATATAAAATAATACATTTAATCAATATAGATCTTATTACTTAGGAAAGTGTTTAAACTAGATGATTTGGAAAGCCGAATATCCCTTCCCCAAGCATTAGAACAGCCACACTCTTTGGAAGTGTCATAAAATTGTTTCAAAGTCCAGCTGTCACTCCCAAGAATTCTAGCGAAGTGAAACAGCAGAGCAAAGACATGTACAGAGTGCCCAGGGAGCTTCAAATTAGCTGAGAAGACCTGTCAAAGGGAAGAGAGTTTCTTAAATACAGTACTTTGCACTTCTTTTGAATGTTTTGCACATCCCTAACACTGTAGTCAACCATTCCATCTATATTTTTCAAGCTATATGCCGTGGGTGTTACTAGAAAAAGAACCAATTTGTTTCATTTGTCAACCTGCAGCTACGTCAGTTAAAAAAAAATGTTTTCTTTCTCTCGGCAGGTACTTAGAGTTGTTCGACTTATAAAGATTTCTCCTGCTCTGGAAGATTTTGTATACAAGATTTTTGGACCTGGAAAAAAGCTTGGGAGTTTAGTTGTATTTACCGCCAGTCTATTAATTGTAATGTCAGCCATTAGTTTGCAAATGTTCTGTTTTGTGGAAGAACTAGACAGATTTACTACATTTCCAAGGGTAAGTTAAAAATTCCATTGCAACCAATCAGATTATAGCTGTTTAGAAATGGCTTTATACTTTAACCGTATTAATGCCAGTTCCTAGTCTTCTGTGAGAAAAGGTTTTGTTGTTCTTGTGTGATATGTTGAGTTTATTTATTTTGCTATGACCTTTGATCCTTTATTTTGCTTAGTCTGTTTTTATTTCACATCAAAATGGCCCTGGTGGGTTGACAGGAATAGTTCTTTGTAACCATGTAATTATGAATGTATTTGTTAGATTTTATATGTCCTCTCCCCAAAGAGTTCAGAATAAAACAATGTATTGCTAATAAAGGAGAATATTGGTAGCTCAGAGTTGAAATGAGGGGTCCTTGGTGTTCTCTGAGCTTGCTTGTTTTCTTGCAGACATTTCATT